CACAGAAGTATCTAGCGGGCCGTATGTTGTGCAGGCCTGTTCTACATCTTTGCATTGACGTTGAACATTCGGGAATGTAACTTTCATGCTCCTGCCCGAGCATCGAAGCAGTTTTGAAATTTGGTAAATGTCGTCATCGGTGTTGCGCGTTATCGTAGAGATGGAACTCATCGATACTTTTACAATATAAATTGGATGCAACAACCCAGTGGTTACCGTGGACCAACAAAATTTGAACATACTTCGATAATGGCGTGTAAACGGGTATTCCACAAAAAACTAGTATAAGCCTCTATCGCCTGCAAACCATCAATACTCGGAAATTAAGATTTTAGTATGTTCATTGGATGATCAATCACTTCAGACCCGATTTGTCTCGTCTAAGGAAGAATATTGAAGTCGCTATCAAATATCGTTTTAGCGGTTTGGAGACGGAAACAGAGAGAGTAGAATCGTGAAACCCATGAAGACTGTTGCGGTCTTGGTGTTGAAGATATGAACTGGATAGCAGTTGACATGAAACGATGCTTGCGTTGAAGCCGAATTGATGATTTTGCTAATAATTTTGAAGGTTTCTTAATTGGTTTGAAAGGAACTTGAAAATATTTACCCAGATTTGGATTCGGCGCCGTAGATTTCACCCTATTCTGCCAAACTTCAACTTCTTCTATCTCCGCTACTTTCCTTTTGCTACCCGTTTTTGGTTTAATCCGATTTAATCCGTTCATCTTGATATTCCCGCACGAGGGAATCATGTAACCCACCATAAGCAATAGCAAACTCGTCTAGTCGAGAAAATCTTCGATCTTCTCACCGAGTCCTTTTCAACTTCTGCTGACTTTTCTCCATGACTCCTTGCGTGCGGTTGTTTTCTGTAATATTTTGAGTTTTTAGTTGAGAATTATTTTTATATCCACGTGAAAATTTTATGTAATGATCGCTTGTTCCGTGTCTTCCTAAATCCCCAAGCATGAGTCCCGCCCAAAAATGCAATTTTTGGTACATAATGTTTCATAAATTTTTGAACAATTTTCGGCCAATAACATTTATTTGTTGGAACCATTGTGTCTGAGTTTATTATATTTTTTTCGGCCAGATTCATTGTCGTCTGAAAATCATTGTCATGATCATAAATCATAAACAGATTATAGCCTGAACTGGTCATATTTATTTCAATGTCGACCATTTCCGACAACGTCCCGGATTCGTCCATAATTGCGGAGTTTTTTTGCGCTATCTGTTTATTCAAACATTCCCAACTCACAGAAGCCTCATTTGAGCTTTTGGTGCCAAACAATATTGTCACGTGATGAATAAGTTTGGTGAGGAATTCCATGTTGCCCGCCACCACCGCCAACCCAAATATATGTAGGCCATCTGGTATGTATTTGTCGAGATCATGACACAAGATTGTGAGATTTTTCATGATGTGACTTGAGCAGAGATGAATAATACCAGCTGTCATCATTGAAACGTTTGCATGTCCAGTAAGTAACCATGTCAAAACACCGTTTCGTGTAGCTTCCCAGTGTTTCCCCCATAAAATGCATTAACATCGAACGAATCAATACAATACTGCCGTCGCAAATAATTTGTTTCGGTGAGACTTTTAAAGGAAACAACTTTATTTCGTCTGCTCTGAATCGAGCAATGAAGTTGGAGATCGATGCCACATTGTGCTTGTTTGTCAAATATGACCCAACAGCAATGGGAACTTTTCCTTTGATAGGATGTCTTACAACTATTTCGTATAAACAGTAAGGACCGGCATTTGATGTTAATATGGATCCTGTGGCGTCGATGTAGACTATGTCCTCTCTGTGTCGAGTATGAAATATTTCCATCAACTGCACTGACCATAACTTGATTCCTGGACGAGAAGCCGGAATTTATTGTAAAGTGCCTCGAATAGTTTTACCATTATCCTCAATTTGCTGATATTCTTGGATCGCTATAAGAGAATTTCAGACATCTGGACTTGGTGTTTTAATTTTATTTGTTTCATTCCTCGCCTTTTTTAACACACTTTTTGAAGGAGCTGCATCTCTATTTCCCGACTCAAAAACTTTGCCATCTGTTTTCTTCAAGCATTGTAAATATTTCTACCTGGCGGTACAATATTTTAAATCGCGCTGGAACTCCCTACGCCTCGTGCCTTTAAGATATTGTGACAGATTATCCCCTTCTTATGCTGCGCGTCTCCTGAATAAGTAACCTCAAAAAGAACTTTATCCCAGTTTATGTGGGCGAGACTGACGTGCACCTCGCATTTACAATATGGAAATCTGCAGTATCCATCACAATTAAATAGAGCTACATTCGATTTTGCGCCTGTTTTGACTCTCGTGTCGCTTGAAGGCGAAACAACAGTAAGGATTGCTCTCGGGGTGGGCAATCACGAATTTCGTCGGCCCAATTGCTATCCCTAAGACCGTCCATCCACAGACTTCATTAGGAGGCTCCATGTTGATTTTGATAAAGAAATTTGCGATTTTAAAATAAGACTAGTTTCGGGGGTCCAAATCTCCGAACGTATCATATCAGCCGACCTATCCACATCCTTTACTGTTCTATCGAGTTCGATCCATTCGTCGAAGGAATCAAAATTCGGGAGAGTAAAGGTGAAATTACCGCAATCTATGTTGTTCTTTGTGATTGGGTCTGATGAATCTTTATGACCGGATTGATTATCTAAAATATTTTTTCAATAGTATTTTAGTTTCGCAATCAACCGATTTAATTCATCCGCACTCAGATTTCCGGGGGTAAAGCGTTTCGAGAGATCTATCCAACTTGCTACTTCTAAGACAAAAATCGCCAATAATGCCGATTTCCTGAGCGACCGTCGGGCAATTAATTTCTTTACGCTTGGAAAATTCTCGCTTTCCTGCTGTGCTTAGCATATCTATCTGCAACTCCTATGTATACCGATTCGATAAAGCACTACTGCACCTTAATCGAAGGACACGTGGACAAGAATTGGAACGCGGACTGCGTGTCTTCGATGGTTGTGACGTCACAGTGGTGGTTAATATAATTAAGATTACAAAATTGGTTAAGCGTAGTCGATAACGATAGTAACGATACAAATTATGTCGCGGACATCGATACATTTCCGATACCAACTAGAAACGCCGATACCGATATTTGGAAAAAGTCGATATACCGATAAAGATACCATGTACTATAATTATTACTACAACGGGTTAAAACAGTAGTCTTTGAGCATTCTAGCACAAGACTTTATTGATGTAATGCAAAAAATATCAAAATTTAAAAAAATTTCAATTTGGGGAACATTTAATAAATTAGAAAAAAACATTTTTGGGGTGATATATGCAATTTTCGGTAGTCTTTTACAAACAATACCGTTGAATGCATAATGTTTTTGTTTTCCGAAGTAAGATTCTGGAATAAAAAAAAACTTTGGACTCGTGGGAACATATAAAAAATTTAATTCATATCGGGAACATTAGTTTGTATGATAAATAAACTAAAATCTCATCTCGGTGACCTCATGACATCCGTGCTTCATATGACATCGTGTTAAATTAGTGACAGAATTAGTTTTACAATTTACCCACTTGCAGGATTGGATGCTGGAAATTGGCGGCCAGGGTAACCCAGGTGAATTTGCTGACTGGAGGATCAGAGTTGCAGCGTGGATAGCATTTGGATGCATTTTCAGCATGGTAATCCAGGGGTGTCAAACTCGTGGCACTCTAACGCTTAACAATAACTGCAATATTTTGTTATTTAGGATTGTTATGTAAATGTGACACATCGAACTATTCAAAGTAAAAGTGATTATTCATATTCATACAGAAAACGACTATTTACAGAGAGTAGATTTGTATAGATTGCAATATTAGTAAAATGTAAAAAATTATTGTGTGAATGGCATTCGAAATTTAAGAAAATGGCCGAAACTTTATGTTCAGAGTTTCCCAAACTTCTTGGGCCACGAACCCATGTTTATGAATCTAATTTTGATGGAACCCCGTTCTATGCGGTATCAATTTAAGTGCCTTACCAACAAGACATATAAATTATTTTTTCATTTACAACACAAAAGATATTAACGAGATGAACGAGGTTGCATTTCAATGCACAATTTATCAATTTTTGAACCAATTTGTGAGAAGCAAACTCGTAGGTGCGAATCTAGGGCAAGGGTCAACCTGTATTTTGTCATCACATTGGTGAGTGCAGAATATGCTGCCTCAGACATAGGTCGTTTGCCTTTTCTGACATCAATGTATATTTTGGATTGAAATCAAGTTCAGATATTAATTTCAAAAATTGATGCACGAAAAGCTTCAAAAATGTATAAAAGCATAAGAATGATATTGAAATCACACAGAGTAAAATTTACATTTTCCCCATACCTCACAAAAATATTAAAAAAATTAATCATGCAAAAATAAAACACATGAGAAACTGACAATCATAAGGAATATTATACATATGGCAACAAAAAGCACTAAGATTTGTCTAACAAAATGTGAAACCATTATAAATAATAGCGATGAATAAGGGGTGAGTAAATAGCGAAAATATGGAAAAAGTAGAAAATACATAGGATGCCACATATTCGACTTCAATTAAAAGATAAGTTCTGACATAGTTAGGAAAGGCTTGATTGACTCGACTATAGTTTGTCGTAGCCTAAGTTCACAAACAAATCCATCGGCAAATACTGGGCTTCAATTCACTTGAACGTTAGCAGCACCTAAAAGCAGTACACAATGAATTGATAAAGCACCAAGAAATCATGACTCAGATAAAAGTATGTCAAGTATGAATTAGCAGATAAATAACTGTTGCCAGTAAACAGATAAGTTGAGAATACCAAAATATGCAATACAACTTATGGCGCTGCATAAGTATGTGCACCAAGATGGCGGACACTGGACTGTAGTATGTGTACAAGGTTAGGGTTAGGCCATAATTTTATTCCAATTTTTCTTGTTTTAGTTCTTTTACGAGTCTGGGATTAGCCAAGTTACTCCCGTAGTATTTGTACCTGAAATTATGGTTTAATCCTAACCTGGTACACATACTATGTTCCGCTGTCCGCCATCTTGGTTCATATTCTTCGGGAGTACCGAAATCAATCATTAAAGATTGATCAAGAACTTTTCATATTGCTGTGGAGCCCGTGTCCAGCCATCATGGAAAAGCGGACCCCAGTTTGGGAAACCCCGATACTAATCGAACGCACCCAGCCTCCAGTCGTAACTCAGTGATTGGCTCGACTCGGTTAGAGAAAGCTCTGAGGTCTCGACTTAGGGAAACAAATGAAGCAATATTTTAATTGAACTGAAAAAAGCATATTGCTGGTTAATTCGATTCGAATGATTATTTCATAAAAATTACAAAAAGGAACATTTTCATATGATATCCACATTAGTCCAGCAAAAAATTAATGGTAACATGGGAGGCATTGAATGACAATCTTCTCAATTGAGATAAGTGTTTAAATTGCAAATCGTGCAACAAAACTGTGACATATTTGATTTTTTATGTCAATGAGTCCATTTTATTATTTTCAAATTTTTCAACAAAATAAATGAATAGAAGTGGAAAAAATTTTATAGTCAAAATACTTTTGCGCTCTTGTTCTCTTTCCAACCCCAAAGTCCTTAGATTTATTTAGATACATTGTACAAATAAATCACGCATTTAAATCAGGGAAATCACTGCTGGCAATGGATATTTAGGGACTGAATATTTAAACAGGATGATCCATACGCACTTGCTCAAACCTCGTTGTAGTTCAAATAACGAGTAAATTATATTTCTTGTGATGTTTGCAAATAATATTATATTGGCAATGGTTTTGATGGAACCCAAATAAGATTTAAGCTTGAATGACTCATTCCCAGCATTAGGAATCATTCAATTCATCGTTTGTGGTGTCTATTAGTCATAGAGATCGACTCCGATATCTGCAATTGATGCTTTAAATCTTTCCAACTGATCAAGGTTGGGGTAGCATCTCCGCATTGATAATTTTTCAACCTGACATTGATAAACAATTTCACTGATTGTAGATAATCCTTCATCTTTGAGTCTGCTGATGTCGTTCATACTCAGATCCAGCAACTTTATCTAGAAACATCAAATTTTAAAATCATGAAGCAACGCAGTTATAAAACATATATTACAAGTTACGAAACATAATAAACTTCACATACAACAAGGATATGGACAAAATTGATCACATTGACACCTGGAACTTCCATTTTATTTTTTTTTTAACTACAACGATGTACATGGTAAATTGCATTGCATCATTTTTTTTTCGCTTTAATGCTCAAAATTATCTTGTGGTTACTCAAAAGGTCGAGTCACTTCGAGTTTTTAAAAAATTTGACTCGAGTCAATAACATAATTCCTTCAAGTCATGCATGAACAACCAATCATCTGATAAATCATTTTTCAGTTCAGATTCACACTATTTACTCATCCATGCACACGCACTGAATTGAAAGTATTTATCCTACCTTTGCATTACGAGTGTTTTCTTTAAATGCTTTCATTCCTTCTGTAGTCAGATAGCAATTCGCGGCACTGAATACCTCCACATGACATTGTGAAACAACTATTCCAAGTTCACCAAAACCAGCAGTTCCAAGGGTATCATTGAAACTGACATCTAGTTCATTCAGCTGAAACAAATATAAACTGTTAGATTATTTAGAACGGTGAGAAAGTGAACCAAATTATGAGTTACACTGTTCTGAAGTTTCTCGTTGCAACTACATGGATTAAATAAAAATTGTGAGGTGATAACCTTGGATATATCCAGTGGCGCAGCTAGGGGGGGGGGCCTTCTGCTAAAATCGCCGTTCGTTTTCATCAACGCGGCATGTTATTTATGCCGTGAACGCCCTATACATTGGTGTTCATTCTCTTTAAATCACAAATTTGTGCCGCAGGAACAATGATAATTATTTTATTTTTGTACCCGCACGGAAATGTGAAAACTGAAAAAGCGTGCAATTGCCTTCTGCTAAAATCACCCATGTTTTCATCAGCGTGTTATTTAGGCCGTAAACGCCCTTATGTCGGTTTTTATTCTTTCTAAATCATAAATTTGTGCCACGATAAACATGATAATTATTTCCTTCTTGTACTTTGCACGCAATTGTGAATTCGTGAGTTATTATACTTCATCGGTGGCGAGGTTCTAAAGACAAAAGAAGGAGTAAAACCGCGATCTAAATTTGATTAAAAAGCGGAATTATAAAATACTGAAAATAAAACCGTAAACAATAGAAGTTTTGTTGAGTCCCGCAACAGTCTAAAAACGCCTTTCTAGTCGCAAAATTTCGTGTGGTGCAGGGATGGCCATTTCCGAATACTAAACTATTCCGAATACATTCTAAAATAATGTTTTCGAATCTGGAATTCCGAATACATTCTAAAATCGAAAATAACACATTTTTGTTTTAGTTGATTAAAACCCAGTAAATTAGGAAATAAGCTTCAATAGAAATATCAGAATGAAGCCACAAACCAACAGTATATGCACACAAAGTAATTGATAGTTTATAGCTATCAATAAAAAATAATAGCAACTTGTGACACAGTCAGTTTATTAAAATTATTCACTTTGTACAAATGACCATATGGAAAGATAGCCAAGGAGTTGTCTGACGCTTTCTATCATTGGTACCATGATATTACTATAATAGTCAAGTCTATTGACAAAAATACTACTTGTATTCAGATAACTGTGTATATTTTCTGAGAGTAATAATATTCTAATATTTAAGCCTGAGGTATTCTACTACCTACCAGTATATTTGTATAATAATTTATGTGAACCATATTGTTATTATGTGTAACATATTGTTGTATTTGAAATTAGAAATAAATTAGTCGAGAATAGATGACCACCACTGCTAGCGCGCAGCCAGGATTTTCGAAATCGAAAATTCCCATTGCCGCCTGTAACACCCACCGCGATTTCGCGCTCGTTAAAAGAGCCGTCTTTTCAGTGTATAATGATCATTCTGTTACGTAAAATATTCAATCCATGACAACTACGAGATTCTAAAATATCTTTATATAATAATTTAATGTGTCCAACGTAACTCGCGGTTGCTTCTTCTTACGTCAAAAAAAAAACGTTACTATTCGTTCCACGGCGATCTGTGACCTTAAAATACGAGATAAACTGCCTGATGTATTTAATTTTAATACGTATTTTTGCAATCTTGCCAACTCGTTATCGCCGTAGGAAAAATCTCAAATAATTATATAAAATCCTGTTAAGTGTAGAGTATAATTCATTTCATACAATGAATAATACATATAAAGTTTAGCGGTGAATTAAAAATACATATTCATCGCCGCGATTATGCCACCTGTTAAAAGCGTCGACTTTCACAACAAATAATATAACAACGAATATATATTTTTCTGCAAAGTGATGAATTCGTGACCGACACGGCATATTTAAAATGTCTTGCTTTATTAATTTAATTGTCTTCAATTTAACCTGCGGTTGCGTCGACAAAATGAAATCCTCACCACTCTTATATACCATTGCAATCCGCGGTTATAAAAATAAAAACGTGAGGTAAACTGTCCTATTAAATATTGTTTTGATCCGTATTTTGCGAATTGGGCAAATATTTAGATGTACTTGTTTACAGTGACTCCGCTCGATCGAAATGCTGCCACTCTGATTATTTTTAGATAAAACCGTTCGAAAAATCCATAAATATGCAGTAATATCTCACTATCTCAGAGAAATATTTATTTCATCACAATAAAATTGATTGAACACGAAATTTTGCGATTTTCACAGCCTAGAAAAGCGTTTTTTAAATTTTCGCGGGCCTCACTAAAACTTATATTTTTTACGATTTTAATTTCAGTATTTTAAATTGCCGCTTTTTAATCAAAAAGTTGCGTTGTCTTTGGAAACTCGTCGCCAATGAACGTATTTACCAGATTCACAATTCCGTGCGCGTATAAAAATAAAATAAATGTTATCGTTACCGTGGAGCAAATTTGTGGAAAATTTTCGTTTTAGAGAAAATAACACAATGGTAAAGGCGTTTAAGGCCTATATAACACGTTACGCTGATGGAAACAACCACGCGAAAGTTTCTATCGAGAATGTTTTCATTCAACGGAAACGTCTTGAAAGCGGCGTCGAAAATGTGTGACGTCACACAAATATCCGATATTCTTATGAACGTGAATTCCGATATTCGAATGACGAGATATTCGAATACATTCGAATACTTTATTCGAATTGGCCATCCCTGCCTACGACGCACATTATATTTGGTCGCGTTTAGGAACATACCGTCACTAAAATCGAAACACCATTACTTTAAAATTGTCGTAGAAAATTTTCGTGTTATCATTAAACAAGGTTGAAAACGCGATTTTTTCCCGGTTTGTGATGATATAGAAGATAATAAATCCGAAGTATATCCATCAATTTTTATTGTACTGAAATAAATTTTACTCCATGAGAATTTACAGCAGATTTACGGATTTTTCAGGAGGTTTTATCTTTAAAAATAAACGGAGTGTCAGCATTGCGATTGAACGGAGTCGATGTTACAAGCACATCTCAAATTTGTTGAATTTGCAAAATAGAAAAAATACTGATCAAAACAATATATGATAGGCGACGGGCAGTTACCACAAATTTTTATTTTTATGTCGGCAAATGGCCGAGGTATTTTAAAATTGTGAATTGTGAAAAATTGTTTTGTTTTGTCGACGCAAACTGGTTAAATTGAAGACAATTAAATTAATAAAGCAAGACATTTTAAATATGCCCTTATCGGTCACGAATTGATTACTTTGCACAACAGAAAAATCATTTTTCGTTGTAAACTTCGGCTCTTTTAACAAGTGGCGTAATCGCGGCGATGAATATGTATTTTTGATTTAACGATATACTTCATATGCATTTTCACCGTACGTAATAAAATTGTACTTTTCGGGATTTTAAATCAGTTATTAAGATTTTCCTAACGGCGATAGCGAGTTGGCAAGATTCCGAAAATACGTATTAAAATTAAATACACCGTTTATCTAATATTTTTATGTCCACCGATCGCCGTGGCATTTCAGAGAACTAATGTTTTAATTTTGACGTAAGAAGAAGCAACCGCGAGTTACGTTGGACACAATTAAACTAATATATAAAGACATTTTAGAATTTTGTAGTTGTCAGAGATTGAATATTTCACGCGACAAGAATAATCATTATACACTGAAAAGACGTCCCTTTAACGAGCGCGTAATGCGAAGACTGTTACAGACCGCAATGAGAATTTAGGATTATGAAACCCCCCCCTTTTGAAAATCCTTGCTGCGCGCCATATATTGATAAAGCCGGATAAGCTAGGTTGGTGTATGTTATTTTATCTGATTCAGTTGGCGCCATTAGTAATCCATTGGAAATGCTTTTTACCAACATTTAATCTTATAGTTTTGTCTCAGATTATTACCTGATACTGCAGACAGCTAATTGCTCTTCAGATTCATTCTAAATCTAAAGTTCTAAACCAAAAAATTGAATCCCGAATCAAGCTTAGGTAAAAGTTCACCAAGCACAGTTGAAAAACATGTGTCTGTGAGATGCCACAGTATATATAGATTGTTGGTACAAGTAAAGTTCTAAAATTATTGATCAAAAAATATTTTAAAAATGTAAGCAAATGCCAAGATCTCTGAGTTTTATTGTTTATTTTATGCCTTCTTTCACCCTGAAATAACAATTTTACGTTTTCTTTAAATGTCTCATGTAAAGTATATTTTTAGTATGATTATAAAATACCTACTGATAACTGACTATAACTAGGATAGAATTATTTCCATCACCCAGTTGTTATTATTGTGGTTTGTAAATAGATTTTGGCACAGTCACCAACGCATAATTCTTGCTCTAATTGTTTTTGTACTTTTTGCCACCTACGCTCACAAAAGTTATTAACAAATAAGCTTCGCCAGGGAGTTTTTTTGTACATACAAGCTGTTTATGTTTTTATTCTTTTCAGTAAAATTATTGTGTATTACACACTTCTTGAATTCGAGTATTTTACCATTTAAATTTGAAAATTTCATACTGATATTTTTGGTGGTTTACAGACTTTTTGACGGTTTACAGTCTTTTAAGACCACTAGGTAAAAAATATGAGTTCAATAATCATAATATACAAAATACTTGTGGATTTACAAGCATTTTGGTATAGTTATCACAGCAGCGGCACCAGTACACTTCCATAACGCTAACATGAATAAAAATGTCTGACATACATGAAATGGTTATTACATTCTACGGGACAGAGATACAACTTTTAACAATATAATTTTCAATTTTGGGACGTAATGGAAATAAATATAAAATAAGAAGCCTTGCAAGGAAATGGCGGCAATGTCCACCACGCAACCATGCAAATGTTCTGCAACAAGATGAGGCGCAGAGTGGAACAGAAGATAAACAATCGATGTTTAAAGTAGCTATTATTCGAAAATCAGCTGAAAAAGTATTCGAATACTTTGATATTCTTGACTGTGATAGGTGCATTCGGCGTGTTATGAATCGTAGGGCCGGCTTATATGTGAATTTTTATGAAATCGCCGTTTTGAGACCGTTTCTAGGGAGCCGGCTTATATATGCGGTAAGAGTAGTATACTAAAGTAGAATATATGGTAAGAGTAGTATACTAAAAAAACTTGTTCATCCATAAAATTTGGCCTCATCGCAAATTCCAACCAAGGTGATTTTTTGCTACTGCTACTATGGAGAAAGAAAAGCTGGTCTGGAAATTTATTAATAACTAAAAGGGCCAGTAAACTTCGATTTAACATTAAAGCTTTGCATAGAGCAATAATTTATAAAAAATAATCCTTATTGATAGAAGAATGAGCCTAAAATGATAATTTCTTTTCTCAGGATTTTTTCGGTAAATTATATACCTCACAACCAGCATTTCAAATTTTAATATAATATTTCAATCACACTCCACTAAGCTTGGAATTATATGTTTACCTTCAAACAGGAACCTTTAAGATTTGAAGTCAGGATATGAACCAACTCGTCATTAAGACTACAGCCACAAAGACAAACAATATCTAGTTGGTTGCAGCGTCGCATAACTGATGACATGGCGTGCATTCCTACTGTTGTGATGGATTCAAATTTAAAATTGATTTCCTTGATGCAAGAATGAATAAGTTCGATGTCGTTTGCTTCGTATAATGTTCCAAATAGATCCAACTTATGACACGATTTCATTTTTTGACTTGACTTAGATGTGAGAAATTCTCTTACAAATCTTATCTTCTCATCTTGTCTGGCACCTGAAAAGTTTAAAATTGTTCTTAGTTTGGGTTCAGAGCAACATTTTCCTGAAACTGATTACCCTATGTAAAAGACATGGGATTGATTCGTTGGGGATAATTATGAGCACAAGGCATAATTGGACTTCTAAGAGTTATAGACTGAAATAAAAAGTAACTGCTGTTCAATCACGATTTGATCCTTCACCAATCTAGAGGGCGAACTAATTAAAAATTGATATAAAAGGCATACAAAAATACTAACCAGAGGAAAAATTTGCTATGAGACTGCTTTCAATATCAGGATTCAGAATAATTCCACTTAGAAAATGACGAACAACTGCCCAATGATCGTAATCCATCTCAGTTTCTATAAAGGCACGAAACGCAGTGGAATCCATATTTGAAATATAGAGAGCGGTTAAAACTACTTGAAGAATTTGGTGACTAAAGAACATTAGATGGTCACCTTCCATGAGATGCTGGTTGAACATGTTTTTCCCAGGAACCCTGATGATAAAATCACGAACGTCATTAGGATCAAGTTCGACTTTTTCAAGATCATGGATTGTGAATATGACTCGCCTATCTTTTGTGCCTTCGAACGACATTAGCATCAATTTTCTGAGTTTGTTTTCAATCTGTTTTTTTTCATGAGTGTGATCGGATCGCATGAAGATGTGGAGGATTTGTAGCATTATCCCAGTCATGGTATCTGGGTTGTTCTTACAGCCAATTGCATTGAAAATTAGGAAAAGAGGAACAGATGATAACGGAATAAGTGCGGGCGACTGCATTGTTAGTTTCTCCCAAGCTTTTTCTCCGCGGTCTCCCATAACTGCAATGAACAAACGCTTGATGTCATCTCGAGCCAGACCAGCAAGGGCTGTTATAAATTGTGGCCTCAATTCTGATGGAAGTGATGCCAATCTGTGCTCACGTGAAGAAATCACGATCGTCATTCTGGGAAAGAGATTGCCGGTTAAGAGATTGTACATTGATGTTGCTGTGCTAGATTTATCGGTATACTTCATCTTCTTATGTTTTCCAAGAAGACTCCAAGTTGCTTGATCAAGGCCGTCAAGAAAAAGAATGGTCTTTGATTGATTTTCATGTAGCCATTCATAGCCTTCTTCCTTATCTTGTGACGAGAGTCTCGAAGCTATTTTTCCAAAAAGTAATTCACATGGGCTAATGGCTTCATCTCTGGAAGTTCCTTTTAAAATTGGGATATCTTTGATATTCAAGTGATGAATAAACTTAAAGCAACGTTTCATTTTTTTGAGTTTTTTTGAACGAGAAAACGATCCATGACTGACTTGAGCTTGTTGGACTAATTCATTGACAACTAGGAGGATTTGAGCAAGACGTTTTAAAATTGTTGTCTTTCCACACCCTGGCTGGCCGATTAATGCAATGCGTGTATACCTCTTGTTAGTTAATTGTTTTACTAGTTCATCCAGAGATATAGGTTTTCCAACTTTTTCTTCATTTGCTTTAACGATGAATTCAGACTTGATATTGTATTTCGCAACCTTGAGGGCCATTTCTCCCAGGTAGAATCGTGACACTTTTCTAAGTTGTGGATTGACTTCAAAGTCTGGTTCGCTCAAGTTTTGCAGTTTGTAATTTTCTGTGATGTTCACTTTTGTTTGCTCCCAGGTTCTCTCGTTGAAATAGTTGATGAATTTTTTTGAATACACAATTTTTTTTCCTTTTGTCGTTTTTCCATACCCTTTTCTTCTACACTTTCCTAATTTAAGGTAAATAATGTTTTTGACAATAAATTTTCATTATATACAGACAGGTTATACCATAGCTGCCAATAAAACGAGGTATTTTGTCAATGTTTCGAATGTGGGGGAAAGTCAATACCAAATAATTCACTATTTTGAAAAAATTTCGAAAATAAATTCCATTAAAAAAGCTTATGTTGGAGTATGAAGATATTTGTATACAATAAACAATGGAATAACTGTTATCTACAATCTGGCTATTTACCAGACATTTTGCCACCATATTTTAGAATAGTCATGATTTTATTTCACAAACAGGCACTTTACTATACAATTTATGTCTACATATTTTAGCATAGTTAGGTTTTCATATTTCAGTAAGTACAAAAATAGGAATCAAAAATTATTTATAATAGGACAGTTTACTACACATTTTATGTTTGCAGATTGCCCCGGTATTTCGGAGTAGTAATGCTTTTATTTTTCGTAAGTTGACGCAACCATGAGCTACGATAAACAGAACTAAATTAATCCGGTAACTGATGAGGCAATTTAAATTCTGGTATTGTTCATGGATTTCAATATTTTGCGCAGTAGAAAATCATCCTAGTAAAAAGTAAATACTTTCAACTATTATTATCAAAATTATTTGCCAAAAAGCGAGAAAAAGTATAAATTATGTCTCATAATAAATCAACCTTTTTTTTCGGCTTGCGGCAATTTCAAATCACACCGAACTGGAGACCTCAAAATCAAATTGAATATTGGAAATTGATTATATTATATTCAGTAAATTTATGACTTGTCGCTTGTTTGAAGAGATAAAAATTGTGTGCCGTTAATAATAGCAAATAAATTTCTAGGTTTTTTAACACTCTACCAGACTTTGTTCGAGTCTATTTTACCGTATTGCAAATAAACTCTAATTCTGTGGTTCTCAGCCGCCGGTCCGCGGCAACCTTGCTGAAAGTCCGCCCAATATATTCCAATATAAATATATTATAAGCAAATTGCAAAATATTGACGGCATTTTTATTAATATTGTGATTTTTTTCCAACTCTTATTTATCCATAGTACGGGTATTCGCCCAACAACCAAACTTGGTGAGAGGTGCTCTGTCCATCCAAGCCCTAAATAGCTGGATGCTCATTAATAAGTCTATGACCTCATAACGACGGCTAACGTCATAACGGAGTAGTTTGATAGCACATAGTACGGTACCTGATTGAGAACTTTGCAGTTCGCACGGTCCGTTTTTGACAGTAGGCCTATAATTTAGCGACGTTTGATAGTAAAATGGAGGTAATCAAACAAAAAAGTTTTATCCAGTTCAAACAGCTTTACTTCGCCTTGCAGAAACTTCATCAGAACTGCGTTTAACACATATAATTAGGGCCCGACCGATCGGCCGAGTTTTTCACAAATTTCAAACTATCGGTATCGGCTAATTTTACTGATATATATCGGCCAATCACATGACTGCCAAAATGTCAAATTCATGCCGGGAAATCAGTTTTATCGCTTGTTTGATCGAGAGCGGTTCTGTCTAATACTCTTTTTCCTTGTTACTTCTATTTCTCTCTTATCAAAAAGAAGCTTTTGACTACGTCTCTCTTTTCCAAAACAGACGTATGGCACGTGATTCAACACTTTGTAAGCAAGTTTGCGAGCGTGCTGGCTTGCAAATTGAAGCGAGAAAAACGTGACTAATAAAGAATTCTTTTGACTATGTCTCTCTTAAAAAACACAATATTCTCCAAGTGTTGCTTGTAGCCATCTTTTTAGGTGAGGAAACATCGGTATCGGCTTATCGGCCAAGTTTTAGAAAAGTATCGGTATCGGTTTGAAAAGACCCTACATATAATGTATGTCGGGTCGGGCCCTAAATATAATATCAGAAAATACAGCCATGTTTAATGTCCCAGTTCCTAACTTATTAGTTATAATATAATGTAGCAAGTGTATTTAACAACTCCTCGAAACGAGAATATCGGTCAGAGACCGAAGACTTATCGATCGAAAGTTAGGGGATCCCCCAAAACAGCGCTCTTACTCCATAGTGACACCTTGTGTCCCATCACTAATTAATTAATTAACTCGCTAATAATACGACGTAATTCGCCCAAAGTCAACAGGCTTCTGGTCCCAGATATGATGAATGCACATGCAAAATCTTGAGCAGATTTAATCTCGCTTTCGTGAGATATCGCGTGCATCTAACAGACATACAAACAGACAAATACCTACCAACATACTTATCGATTAAAATCGATAAGCAATAAATCAGAGCATGCTGGTGAACCAGAATTGTTTATTATATTGTTGCTTTAATTCGATTTTGCATATCTCACATTGAACTATTATGAGTCAGGTGAAAAGGCAGTGAGCCAGTGATATAGCAAAATATTTTGTATTGTAATTCGAATGTTCACTATGTGTCCAATAAATATCATTTTACACTCACCTGATGGTGAGGGCACCACTTCATAGACTGGACAAGGAAAATCATTTAAGGCAAGTTTGGCATCAGTGGATCCCTTCATTCTTTGAGCTCTTGCAGTTTCACCTGAGGTAAATTATAAATAAAAAACTGAAATACTTTTTAAAATTAAAACTCATTCGGATGATATTTTGGTCAAATTTGAAAAAAACATTTGCATGATAGTGTTAAGACATGGAGTGTTCAGAATGGCTCGTTTAAAGGGAAAATAACTTGTCTAAATGTTAGTAGCCTGTTTAGAATCAGCCCATAGAAGAGGGGGGCAACCTGCTTTCGACTGATCGATAATAAGGTCATACACAAAAACGAACGAGTACAGAATATGCAGATAACTGCACATACACATACAAAAAATACCGCTGCATGGAACTGGTTCAAGGCAATTTTTTGAGGTATTATATTAAATTCACTCATCATCAGAAATGATCGACTACTCGAGACATGGCAATCGACTGGTCGATTAGATCGAGGTGTTGGCCACCCCTGTTGTATAGAATGGGCATAGTTTGTTAAGAATGACGAAAACCCTTTCCAAGAGGGCATAATGTTTAGATGGGGAAGAGCCGTTTTTGAAGGGGCCAAGTTTGCCGAGATGGAGTTTCCTTAAACAGAGTAAAGATCTTTTTCTAAGGCCAGGACTTGCAAACTCTGACCCATTTTTATTTAGAAACGGCGTGGCAGTGTGGCTCATCGTGCTAAGCGTTAGGAATACGCTCGCCACCGCACCTCTAATTGCTCTGCGTGGGTTCGAATCCCATGCGGAATGGTTATGTGCGAGAGGATTGCTGGACTCCTCGCCGCCGTTGGGTGGTTCACGTAACCGCTGGTCGGTTACGGCTTCCTCCACCATCAAGTCCATGCTTCGGAAAAACAAATACCTAACTAATCCCATACCCGTAGGGATGGGCAATATAGAATACCGAATCCGGAGGATTCGAATCCTAAAGTATTCGAATCCAACAGGATTCGGTTTAAGGATTCGGTTTAGACTGCGTACAATTTTCGTGTTTGCGGTACTCAAATTATCGATTAAACGGCTGACGAAAGTGTTTTCTCGTGCTTGTGCGAGCACGCCGAGAATTCTCTCGTTTATCGGCGCCGGTCTGTCTGCTTGTGGAATGCGATGGTTCATTATTATATACAATAATAAAATCGTTGATTGTTTGTCATAAAACGCCTTCCAAATAACGCATATTTATATAATCGTTGATCTGGAATTCTCTCGTTTATCGGCGCCGGTTTGCCTGCGATGGTTCATTATTTTACTAACGAAATCGATTGTTTGTCACAAAACGTCCTCCAAACAACGCGTTTATTAGCAATAATCGTTTATCTGGTGCTTCAAAACTTGATATTAAATAAAAGTATTTAGTATAGGTTTTTAGTCACGATCGTTTCTACAAAGTATTTTGTAGAATGTTACAATCTGTATTTTATTCGATCACTTTCTTTAAGTTGACCGATGACAGTTGTCTTGCTTTTCATTATAGGAAAAAAACATATAGTGGCCGCTCGCTAACGATGGGTGATAAGCGCCGAAAGCTGCAATACCAGCTGGAATCTCATCGTGAAATCGCACCGAAACTGAAATGGCACCTGACTAGGCACTTGAATGTCCATTTGCGCTATTCAGCTCTACTATCAACATATATACTTTCAAGTCGACTTATTACTGTGTTATTAGGGATTTCAATTTCTCAGTCTAGCTTCGAGATACAAAATGCCAGGAAAGAGGAAAACATCTAATGTTTGGGAACACTTTGTTTTGAGGCCCGATGGATTTGCGGTGTGCAATCACTGCAAACTTGAAATGAGCTACTGCAACAATACAGGAAGTCTTCTGAAGCATTTGAGGACAAAACATATTTTCATTGGACTTGATCAAATGAGTGGAAGTGGTACCTCGATTATGCCTGCACCAAAGCAACCGAAATTAGCCTCTTATTTTCAAACCCCGGTCACACCTGCAAAATCAAAGAAAATCACAGAACTGATTTTAAATACCATAGTCGGTGATTTGAGGCCGATTGGCTTAGTAGAAGGGGAGAACTTCAAAAAACTAATAAAAGAATTAGCACCCGGGTATGAGATGCCAAGTCGTCGAACTCTGACAAGAAATATTGAAGAAAAGTTTTTAAATTGCAAGAAGGAAATAAGGAAAGTTCTGAATCGTGTTAAATAAGCAGCATTGACGACAGATCTATGGTGCAGTGCAAAAATGCAATCTTTTCTTGGCGTTACTCTCCATTATATAAATGAGGATTTTGAACTCATAAATCTTGTGCTGGCAACAAAAGATGTGAATGATGTTCATACATATCTACATATCGTGGAATGGCTGGAAGCTGTCATTGAGGATTACGAGATGTCGCCTCAACAAATTGTACCATTGTTACTGACAATGGTGCAAATGTTGTCAATGCTTGTCGTAAACTGAAAGAAAAATATGGTTGGATACACATACGATGTGCAGCACATACACTACAGTTGTGTTTAAAGCAGGCATTTGATATTCCACAGATTAAATCTGCTATTGGTAAGTGATAAAATTATTGTTTCATTATGCCCAGTCTATGTTTACTTCATTGTATAACATGTTATTTTATTATTATTATTAGGTGCTGCTAGACACCTTGTTGCATTTTTTCGACAGTCATCAAAAGCCAGCCAAGCATTAAAAGCTGCTCAAGAAAAAGAACATCAGCTGGAGCTTATACTTGATGTTTCCACAAGATGGAACTCCACATACAGTATGTTGGAGAGACTTTGTCGCCTGCAAGCATATGTTCGCCAAGTCCTTTGCAATGGGCTCATTGTAAAAGCAACATCGTCAGCTCATTTGGAGTTAAAAGACAACCACTGGGCACTGATTCAAACCCTAGTTGAAAAACTTAAACCAATTACGATAAGTCGTATGTGCGACTGGGAGAAAAATAACTTGTACTGGGCCACATAATTTGTTAATAACAACCTAATATTCATTAACAGATTGCAACAGATTACCTGGAAGGTGAAAAATATGTGTCAATAAGTGGTGTAATACCATTGGTCAAAGGATTGTCACAAAAGTACATGCCATGTGAAGAAGATTCAAGAAGTTTAGCTTTATTTAAGAACAAAATTCTAACTCAATTGCATGAGAGATTTGGGTTCGTTTTCAACCAGAACTCGTGTTATATTCACATGAGCATCGCAACATGGCTGGATCCAAGATACAAAACGAGCTATTTCAAAAAAGTGGATGGTATTCAAGTAAGTTTCACTGCATTGCAACTTTTGCCTTTTGCAGCCTTATTTTTTTTACACACAATTCTTATAGATTTCTTTCTTTCTCATAGATTAGAGGCAGTATAGAATCAGAAATGATTGCAATAAAACAACGACAGACAAATGCAAACAGCAAGGATATCGATAACTGTTTTGAAAAACAATTTGATTTTGCCAAAAAGCCGGAATCACTAGATGAACTATTGGGCTGTGGCATTGAAAGCCACGACAGCAGCAAAGAAATAGACGAGGGCAATGACGATGAAGTTGCCAGCGTTTCGGAAGAAACGGCCTCGTATTTAAAAACCAAAATTCAGACTATCAACCTAAATACTTTGGAATGGTGGAAAAGTAACACAGCTACACCTGTTTTGAAAGAACTGGCAGTAAAGTATTCATGCATGCCAGCGACATCAGCATCCTCGGAACGGAACGGGATCCTTTTCTAGTGCAGGATTGACTGCTAGTAAATTACGATCACGGCTAACCGGCAAACATGTGGAGATGTTAAATGTGTTACACTGCAACAAAAAATTTTGCATGTGAAGTGCACAATTTTATTTTTTGCAATTTTTCACATTCCTGTTCCACGATCTTATTTTTTGTAATTTTCACATTCTTGTTCCATAAATTTATTTTTTGTAATTTTTCACATTCCTGTTCCACAATCTTGTTTTTTGTAATTTTTCACATTCCTGTTCTGATTTTAAAATGTTTTTCATGAAATAAAACAGTTCCAATATTCCGATTACTAGATTGTGACTTCAATTTAGTTTGTTGAAGCTGTTAGTTAAGTTATTGAAACAGTGTAGAGTTCAGTTGAGGCATTTAGCTTACAATGTGGCTGTAAATGAAAATAGAATAGGATTCGGTATTCTGGATTCGATTTAACTATTCTAGAATAGTAAATTATTCTACATTGCCCATCCCTACATACCCGACATTGAATGATAATCGGATGAGAGGAGGTGGTTCGCCATATGGTTAAGCCGTCTCATTGGCTTTCCTCTCCCCCGGGATAAATATGTAAATCTTATCCTTAAACGGGTTACACAAATTTAAAATTGGGTGCTTTCAAAATTGTCAGAAGGTCTATGGCACAAATTTTTCCAAGTGTTAGAAATACGTTCGACACTCCACCTCTAATCATCCTACATGGGTTCAAATCTAGTGAGGGACAATTATGTGCAAGAACATTGCTGGGCCTCTCGTTGCCGTAGGGTGTTCTATGTAATCAGTGTTCCGTGCTGGCTAACTAATCCATACCCAACAAGGACTCGTAACCAGACGAGAGACCATGGTTTAACATATATTGATGACATTTTATCATATTTCTTTCCTCCCGGTATAAATATGTAAATCCTATCCTGCCATTTACCTAATAGCCATATACGTACGCGTACGCAGCAGGGGTTCCCAAGTTTTTTTCAGGACGACCCCAAACACAACTTTCAAGTGTCCAGTGCGACCCCAAGTCAATATATATATTTTTCGTGAAACTCTATAGCTTCTTTTACTGGACTTTTAAGTTTGGTCATGTGGTGGTATTGAGTAAAATAAGCTACAACAAAACAGTGATGTCACAATAAGCACCTACATTTTTTATAGCATAAGCATAGAGCGATGCCTATGGACCTGTTTTACAGTAGGTAAGCCATGCTACAAACTGCTAAATTTAACAAGGTTTGTCAAATCTTAGATAGTTTGTACATCCATCCTCTACCATACCTCAGCAACCCCATGACCTGTTTGCGACCCTACCTATTTATCACTCCGACCCACTTTGGGGGCCCCCATGACCTGTTTGCGACCCTACCTATTTATCACTCCGACCCAATTTGGGGTTGCGACCCCTGGTTTGGGAACCCCTGGTATACAGGATAAAAAATACTAGTCTTCTCAATAAGCTCATTAGAACAAGCATGACTGTTTTAACTAAGTTAAACTGAGTTTTAAAAACTGTCTGCTACACAGCAAAAGTTCAAATCATTTTTCATAACCTTTTGAATGAATGCTCGTAATTTTGCTTTAGATTTATTTCCTATAAAAATACTTGATAAGATTCTTAATTCATACCCGAAGTAGACGGTATTTTCTCTCGTGCAGTACCGGGAGAAGGTTTATCAGCTTGTACTCGAGCTTGTGGTACAGCTGGAAGGTGTGGGGCTAAAAATAATTAAGTTTCATAGGTTTATGTTGAAACTAAAGTTGAAAATATTCTGGTTTTGGTCTAGAGTTGAAGTCGAATGTTTAATTTAAATAGTAGATCTGTTTTCATGGCCATAGTTTTCGTATCAACTGTTAAACGAAACATAAATGTTGTTTACTAGTGGTATGAGATTGGTCTCATTTAAAGGTTTTTCATCAATTTTTTGAAGTTGTTAAAATTTAACCCTTTCCATGCGATTTTTATTTTTTATTAAATAATCGTATTTGCTACGCCGATTTTATGCATTTGTACCCCCACAACTAATCGATCGACTAACGAAAAACTAATGATCCTCTGCTGCCCACTGACGGCTCGTTGGAAAGCTTATTTAAAGAGCTTGCAATTGACAATTAAAAAAAAAAAAATTTTCAAAAGTGGTGGTCTGAGTCACAAACCGGATAGAAAAGAGGCATTTATTTTTCTTGGGAGTTGAAACTTCAAACCGTGATAAAAAAATAGAAATATTCGCTAAATCCTTTACTGTTACCGCTCCGTGGTTGGCCAACAATAGCATAATATTGCTGTAGCAATTTCGTGATCCAACTCAAAATACTTTGGTAGATGGAAGGGATAATATGTCTTCTATTACCACCCAAAAAACACCGAAATTTGCATAAATTTCAAAAACACTCCCTCGTTCCACCGCAAATAAAATTCCCGTCGTAAACGAAAGCGAGATTTACCGCCGCTTATGTTAGACTCGAAGAAGACTTCTTATCAATAAACTAAAACCCGGAAAAACTAGACCAACAGTTTGCGACCGATTGCTAAATAAAACAGTGGAGTACATCAACGTACTCGCCGCAATCTAGCGACTTTTGTCGTGGGTATGTATACGTGCCCACCGCACGGAAAGGGTTAATGGTGGATAAGTGTATGTACATAATCTCGAATTTGTATTTTAAAAAATTTACACAATCTTCCTATTCAAGAACACTAAAGACTGAATAATTATCCACATAGATGGATGTTTGGTATCAAATAAAGTTTAACTGAACTTTAAACAAACGAACGCTCGTAGTACAACAGTACATCCGAAATTTGTTAATCGTTTATGAATATGTAAAGCAATCACTTGTCGCTAGATTACTGGGACTCTCTTATGACTTGGGGGTACCCAACGAGAAAACGTTCAAACCCTGCTAATGCGAAAAAATTACATGAGAAGAATGCTGCGTTTTGACAATAGAGTAATGAACAGAATATTTCATATATAAGAATGATAATTCAACTATCAGTTGAGGCCTCTTCATGAGACTTCTGTATCCATAATGGATCTAACCAACTCCTAACTCAACAACTACTGTAAGAAATGCATTTCCAAATACCACAAAATAGACTTCAACAATTTGAAGAAGATAATTCAACTAGTGCGAAAACAACAGATAGCATATTATTTTGAAAAAAAAGGTGCCAGAGTGAACAAGATTGTTAGGAAATACTAATCGACTGGTAATTAATTGAATATCCGACTTGAAATGTAAACATCACTTCATGTTCTCAATGACAATCTTGTTCAAAAATAGGAAAATTACCTAAATAAAATTTAACTGAGCCTCACCTTGAATGTTCACAGTGTTAGCTCCCTCTTGTGGTTGGTCTTGATCAGCCATTTTTCAAGACAAACAATCCAAATGTAATCATAAGGATATGCTACTGATAACTATTCAAAGTATGTTAATATTATAATATCTGGTAAACATAAAAGCACAAATTTTGAATAATTTGAGAAAATGAAATATACAAAAACAAAAAAAAGGTTCAGGTCTAACTCAAAAATTATTCATATTCAACCATACCATGCCTTTCAATTGTATGCTAACAAATGAACAGCAGTGCTTATATAACAGTTCAAAGCTGACAAGTCCACTATAGGTTCAGATGAAAAGCTTTGAATACTGACAAGATGTCTCGCTTTTACTGTTTATACTTTATTCTACCGTTACAAGGTCCTTCATGTAGCCATTTTACAGTTTGAGACTTATTCCACAAACCGCATATATGTCTCTTAAACCAGTCAGCTTTTAACATAGATTGGTAACAGGTTGTGCCTTTTCTTCGGTTAATCTCAAATTCTATTCTAATATTGGAATGAAATTCCGTTCTTCCAAGTTGTTTTCCTACAGTATTGCATTGTTATATGTGTTTCAAGTCTCATGTCAGTCACAATCTACTCATATTGGAGTAGATAGGCAAATTGTTGAAAGAGAAGAATTAGAAACTCAAAGAATATTTATCAGTTATAAATCATTCCTATCACACCATGAGTCCAGACAAAATGGAATTTTATGCCCATGTAATTATAGACAACGCCCGTTTGTATACACTCACTATGGTACACCCAGTAGTGGGATTCAGCCGGTTCTATAAAACCGTCTCACGGAATTTTATGAGATCAGCGAACCGGTTGGCATTACATGACTTTTTGTAACAGAACCGCCTGAAAATTCGACATTTGTATGATGGAACCAGCTGACAAAAAATTTGAATCCCACCACTGGGTACACCCTACAAATAATGTGACTATGAGATATTACATTTATAATACATAATGCCTATGCCACATCTGTTAATGTTACCTGCTAATATTACAGTACGGCACACTATACAACTCGGGTGACATTGTCCCGTTTCAGAGAAACCCATTTTACAGATGATCAGACACCCCTCTTTTGGGAGACGTCTGGACATTGTTGTCCCTAAATATCGGTTATAATACAGTATATTGGAGTTGCGCAAAATACTACAAAAAAGGACAATCTAGTAACGTCATCATTGAATTCTTTGGGAAAAAATAATCCGATTTACCAAAGGAAAAAATTTTTACCGTAGCATTCGAGAGTTTTTAGCAAAAAACGGCAATTTTGGTCATGTGACTCGAACTCAGTCAATCGAAATTTTGTGAAATATTAGTTGTTGGCCATGATATCTGGGTTTTGCTCATGTAACTCATTTTGATTTCTGGTCAACCAATAAGGACCCCACAAGTATGTTTCGAACGAGTACCGTGACTATAATCTAAAGGTTACGGAAATATTTTTTCGTTGCAGAGTGCAAATGGCAACAGTCTATTTTCAGCTGTCCCGGAGATATTGGGTGAGAATACACTCTGATGAACAAAATATATGGTCCGTGTCGCCATTCTGCTAAACTGTTAATACCAGGTAATGGTTCACTCTCATGCAACTTGGTCTTCTGCCGATAGCACATATTACATGACTTGCTATTCATCCAGCCGTACACAAAATTCCATTAAGTTTATTGGTATAAAACTTTGGAATATGCTTCCAGGTACCATACACTCTAAGAGCTATAATACATTTAAAAAAGAATTAAAAAATCTCTACCTCAATGCTTATA